ATCGTGAAGATGCTGAAGAAGGGTGAGAAAACTGCTTATATTAAGCTCTCACGGCGGAAGAAAATGAGCTGCAGGCAGAGAAATTCCTTGTGGACATTCTTGATGAAAATACCCATTACCTGTCTTGTCTCTCTTTCGCTCACGTCCTCTTAATCTGATTAATCCAGCCGAAGCATACCGAAGCGAAGAGAACTTACAGGACATCCTAGGAATATTTTCGCAAGAAAAAGTTATCAATTGAATTTAGTCAGCCTATCAGAAAGGAACAATGGCTTTACATCTTGGCCAAAGTATCGTCATATAAAAACAATCTTATTCGTTTGCAAACAGAAAATTCGTGTCTCTTCATTCGAGAATTGTCTGGCTCAATAAGATAATGGTAAAGCTGTTCTGCGTCATCGTTGGTATGAAGGGAAGTGCGTTTCCTGTGGACATTGATACGACTGAGAGTGTGGGGAGACCTAAAAGACGCAAGCAAGGCAAAGAAGGCGAACGCCTTGAAGAACGTTGGTGCGCGTAACCTGCAGCTCTTCCTTGCGAAAGGAACAGATGGCGAGTGTATCTCGTCTGGCTTGGCAATCGTGAAGATGCTGAAGAAGGGTGAGAAAACTGCTTATATTAAGCTCTCACGGCGGAAGAAAATGAGCTGCAGGCAGAGAAATTCCTTGTGGACATTCTTGATGAAAATACCCATTACCTGTCTTGTCTCTCTTTCGCTCACGTCCTCTTAATCTGATTAATCCAGCCGAAGCATACCGAAGCGAAGAGAACTTACAGGACATCCTAGGAATATTTTCGCAAGAAAAAGTTATCAATTGAATTTAGTCAGCCTATCAGAAAGGAACAATGGCTTTACATCTTGGCCAAAGTATCGTCATATAAAAACAATCTTATTCGTTTGCAAACAGAAAATTCGTGTCTCTTCATTCGAGAATTGTCTGGCTCAATAAGATAATGGTAAAGCTGTTCTGCGTCATCGTTGGTATGAAGGGAAGTGCGTTTCCTGTGGACATTGATACGACTGAGAGTGTGGGGAGACCTAAAAGACGCAAGCAAGGCAAAGAAGGCGAACGCCTTGAAGAACGTTGGTGCGCGTAACCTGCAGCTCTTCCTTGCGAAAGGAACAGATGGCGAGTGTATCTCGTCTGGCTTGGCAATCGTGAAGATGCTGAAGAAGGGTGAGAAAACTGCTTATATTAAGCTCTCACGGCGGAAGAAAATGAGCTGCAGGCAGAGAAATTCCTTGTGGACATTCTTGATGAAAATACCCATTACCTGTCTTGTCTCTCTTTCGCTCACGTCCTCTTAATCTGATTAATCCAGCCGAAGCATACCGAAGCGAAGAGAACTTACAGGACATCCTAGGAATATTTTCGCAAGAAAAAGTTATCAATTGAATTTAGTCAGCCTATCAGAAAGGAACAATGGCTTTACATCTTGGCCAAAGTATCGTCATATAAAAACAATCTTATTCGTTTGCAAACAGAAAATTCGTGTCTCTTCATTCGAGAATTGTCTGGCTCAATAAGATAATGGTAAAGCTGTTCTGCGTCATCGTTGGTATGAAGGGAAGTGCGTTTCCTGTGGACATTGATACGACTGAGAGTGTGGGGAGACCTAAAAGACGCAAGCAAGGCAAAGAAGGCGAACGCCTTGAAGAACGTTGGTGCGCGTAACCTGCAGCTCTTCCTTGCGAAAGGAACAGATGGCGAGTGTATCTCGTCTGGCTTGGCAATCGTGAAGATGCTGAAGAAGGGTGAGAAAACTGCTTATATTAAGCTCTCACGGCGGAAGAAAATGAGCTGCAGGCAGAGAAATTCCTTGTGGACATTCTTGATGAAAATACCCATTACCTGTCTTGTCTCTCTTTCGCTCACGTCCTCTTAATCTGATTAATCCAGCCGAAGCATACCGAAGCGAAGAGAACTTACAGGACATCCTAGGAATATTTTCGCAAGAAAAAGTTATCAATTGAATTTAGTCAGCCTATCAGAAAGGAACAATGGCTTTACATCTTGGCCAAAGTATCGTCATATAAAAACAATCTTATTCGTTTGCAAACAGAAAATTCGTGTCTCTTCATTCGAGAATTGTCTGGCTCAATAAGATAATGGTAAAGCTGTTCTGCGTCATCGTTGGTATGAAGGGAAGTGCGTTTCCTGTGGACATTGATACGACTGAGAGTGTGGGGAGACCTAAAAGACGCAAGCAAGGCAAAGAAGGCGAACGCCTTGAAGAACGTTGGTGCGCGTAACCTGCAGCTCTTCCTTGCGAAAGGAACAGATGGCGAGTGTATCTCGTCTGGCTTGGCAATCGTGAAGATGCTGAAGAAGGGTGAGAAAACTGCTTATATTAAGCTCTCACGGCGGAAGAAAATGAGCTGCAGGCAGAGAAATTCCTTGTGGACATTCTTGATGAAAATACCCATTACCTGTCTTGTCTCTCTTTCGCTCACGTCCTCTTAATCTGATTAATCCAGCCGAAGCATACCGAAGCGAAGAGAACTTACAGGACATCCTAGGAATATTTTCGCAAGAAAAAGTTATCAATTGAATTTAGTCAGCCTATCAGAAAGGAACAATGGCTTTACATCTTGGCCAAAGTATCGTCATATAAAAACAATCTTATTCGTTTGCAAACAGAAAATTCGTGTCTCTTCATTCGAGAATTGTCTGGCTCAATAAGATAATGGTAAAGCTGTTCTGCGTCATCGTTGGTATGAAGGGAAGTGCGTTTCCTGTGGACATTGATACGACTGAGAGTGTGGGGAGACCTAAAAGACGCAAGCAAGGCAAAGAAGGCGAACGCCTTGAAGAACGTTGGTGCGCGTAACCTGCAGCTCTTCCTTGCGAAAGGAACAGATGGCGAGTGTATCTCGTCTGGCTTGGCAATCGTGAAGATGCTGAAGAAGGGTGAGAAAACTGCTTATATTAAGCTCTCACGGCGGAAGAAAATGAGCTGCAGGCAGAGAAATTCCTTGTGGACATTCTTGATGAAAATACCCATTACCTGTCTTGTCTCTCTTTCGCTCACGTCCTCTTAATCTGATTAATCCAGCCGAAGCATACCGAAGCGAAGAGAACTTACAGGACATCCTAGGAATATTTTCGCAAGAAAAAGTTATCAATTGAATTTAGTCAGCCTATCAGAAAGGAACAATGGCTTTACATCTTGGCCAAAGTATCGTCATATAAAAACAATCTTATTCGTTTGCAAACAGAAAATTCGTGTCTCTTCATTCGAGAATTGTCTGGCTCAATAAGATAATGGTAAAGCTGTTCTGCGTCATCGTTGGTATGAAGGGAAGTGCGTTTCCTGTGGACATTGATACGACTGAGAGTGTGGGGAGACCTAAAAGACGCAAGCAAGGCAAAGAAGGCGAACGCCTTGAAGAACGTTGGTGCGCGTAACCTGCAGCTCTTCCTTGCGAAAGGAACAGATGGCGAGTGTATCTCGTCTGGCTTGGCAATCGTGAAGATGCTGAAGAAGGGTGAGAAAACTGCTTATATTAAGCTCTCACGGCGGAAGAAAATGAGCTGCAGGCAGAGAAATTCCTTGTGGACATTCTTGATGAAAATACCCATTACCTGTCTTGTCTCTCTTTCGCTCACGTCCTCTTAATCTGATTAATCCAGCCGAAGCATACCGAAGCGAAGAGAACTTACAGGACATCCTAGGAATATTTTCGCAAGAAAAAGTTATCAATTGAATTTAGTCAGCCTATCAGAAAGGAACAATGGCTTTACATCTTGGCCAAAGTATCGTCATATAAAAACAATCTTATTCGTTTGCAAACAGAAAATTCGTGTCTCTTCATTCGAGAATTGTCTGGCTCAATAAGATAATGGTAAAGCTGTTCTGCGTCATCGTTGGTATGAAGGGAAGTGCGTTTCCTGTGGACATTGATACGACTGAGAGTGTGGGGAGACCTAAAAGACGCAAGCAAGGCAAAGAAGGCGAACGCCTTGAAGAACGTTGGTGCGCGTAACCTGCAGCTCTTCCTTGCGAAAGGAACAGATGGCGAGTGTATCTCGTCTGGCTTGGCAATCGTGAAGATGCTGAAGAAGGGTGAGAAAACTGCTTATATTAAGCTCTCACGGCGGAAGAAAATGAGCTGCAGGCAGAGAACTTCCTTGTGGACATTCTTGATGAAAATACCCATTACCTGTCTTGTCTCTCTTTCGCTCACGTCCTCTTAATCTGATTAATCCAGCCGAAGCATACCGAAGCGAAGAGAACTTACAGGACATCCTAGGAATATTTTCGCAAGAAAAAGTTATCAATTGAATTTAGTCAGCCTATCAGAAAGGAACAATGGCTTTACATCTTGGCCAAAGTATCGTCATATAAAAACAATCTTATTCGTTTGCAAACAGAAAATTCGTGTCTCTTCATTCGAGAATTGTCTGGCTCAATAAGATAATGGTAAAGCTGTTCTGCGTCATCGTTGGTATGAAGGGAAGTGCGTTTCCTGTGGACATTGATACGACTGAGAGTGTGGGGAGACCTAAAAGACGCAAGCAAGGCAAAGAAGGCGAACGCCTTGAAGAACGTTGGTGCGCGTAACCTGCAGCTCTTCCTTGCGAAAGGAACAGATGGCGAGTGTATCTCGTCTGGCTTGGCAATCGTGAAGATGCTGAAGAAGGGTGAGAAAACTGCTTATATTAAGCTCTCACGGCGGAAGAAAATGAGCTGCAGGCAGAGAAATTCCTTGTGGACATTCTTGATGAAAATACCCATTACCTGTCTTGCCTCTCTTTCGCTCACGTCCTCTTAATCTGATTAATCCAGCCGAAGCATACCGAAGCGAAGAGAACTTACAGGACATCCTAGGAATATTTTCGCAAGAAAAAGTTATCAATTGAATTTAGTCAGCCTATCAGAAAGGAACAATGGCTTTACATCTTGGCCAAAGTATCGTCATATAAAAACAATCTTATTCGTTTGCAAACAGAAAATTCGTGTCTCTTCATTCGAGAATTGTCTGGCTCAATAAGATAATGGTAAAGCTGTTCTGCGTCATCGTTGGTATGAAGGGAAGTGCGTTTCCTGTGGACATTGATACGACTGAGAGTGTGGGGAGACCTAAAAGACGCAAGCAAGGCAAAGAAGGCGAACGCCTTGAAGAACGTTGGTGCGCGTAACCTGCAGCTCTTCCTTGCGAAAGGAACAGATGGCGAGTGTATCTCGTCTGGCTTGGCAATCGTGAAGATGCTGAAGAAGGGTGAGAAAACTGCTTATATTAAGCTCTCACGGCGGAAGAAAATGAGCTGCAGGCAGAGAAATTCCTTGTGGACATTCTTGATGAAAATACCCATTACCTGTCTTGTCTCTCTTTCGCTCACGTCCTCTTAATCTGATTAATCCAGCCGAAGCATACCGAAGCGAAGAGAACTTACAGGACATCCTAGGAATATTTTCGCAAGAAAAAGTTATCAATTGAATTTAGTCAGCCTATCAGAAAGGAACAATGGCTTTACATCTTGGCCAAAGTATCGTCATATAAAAACAATCTTATTCGTTTGCAAACAGAAAATTCGTGTCTCTTCATTCGAGAATTGTCTGGCTCAATAAGATAATGGTAAAGCTGTTCTGCGTCATCGTTGGTATGAAGGGAAGTGCGTTTCCTGTGGACATTGATACGACTGAGAGTGTGGGGAGACCTAAAAGACGCAAGCAAGGCAAAGAAGGCGAACGCCTTGAAGAACGTTGGTGCGCGTAACCTGCAGCTCTTCCTTGCGAAAGGAACAGATGGCGAGTGTATCTCGTCTGGCTTGGCAATCGTGAAGATGCTGAAGAAGGGTGAGAAAACTGCTTATATTAAGCTCTCACGGCGGAAGAAAATGAGCTGCAGGCAGAGAAATTCCTTGTGGACATTCTTGATGAAAATACCCATTACCTGTCTTGTCTCTCTTTCGCTCACGTCCTCTTAATCTGATTAATCCAGCCGAAGCATACCGAAGCGAAGAGAACTTACAGGACATCCTAGGAATATTTTCGCAAGAAAAAGTTATCAATTGAATTTAGTCAGCCTATCAGAAAGGAACAATGGCTTTACATCTTGGCCAAAGTATCGTCATATAAAAACAATCTTATTCGTTTGCAACCAGAAAATTCGTGTCTCTTCATTCGAGAATTGTCTGGCTCAATAAGATAATGGTAAAGCTGTTCTGCGTCATCGTTGGTATGAAGGGAAGTGCGTTTCCTGTGGACATTGATACGACTGAGAGTGTGGGGAGACCTAAAAGACGCAAGCAAGGCAAAGAAGGCGAACGCCTTGAAGAACGTTGGTGCGCGTAACCTGCAGCTCTTCCTTGCGAAAGGAACAGATGGCGAGTGTATCTCGTCTGGCTTGGCAATCGTGAAGATGCTGAAGAAGGGTGAGAAAACTGCTTATATTAAGCTCTCACGGCGGAAGAAAATGAGCTGCAGGCAGAGAAATTCCTTGTGGACATTCTTGATGAAAATACCCATTACCTGTCTTGCCTCTCTTTCGCTCACGTCCTCTTAATCTGATTAATCCAGCCGAAGCATACCGAAGCGAAGAGAACTTACAGGACATCCTAGGAATATTTTCGCAAGAAAAAGTTATCAATTGAATTTAGTCAGCCTATCAGAAAGGAACAATGGCTTTACATCTTGGCCAAAGTATCGTCATATAAAAACAATCTTATTCGTTTGCAAACAGAAAATTCGTGTCTCTTCATTCGAGAATTGTCTGGCTCAATAAGATAATGGTAAAGCTGTTCTGCGTCATCGTTGGTATGAAGGGAAGTGCGTTTCCTGTGGACATTGATACGACTGAGAGTGTGGGGAGACCTAAAAGACGCAAGCAAGGCAAAGAAGGCGAACGCCTTGAAGAACGTTGGTGCGCGTAACCTGCAGCTCTTCCTTGCGAAAGGAACAGATGGCGAGTGTCTCTCGTCTGGCTTGGCAATCGTGAAGATGCTGAAGAAGGGTGAGAAAACTGCTTATATTAAGCTCTCACGGCGGAAGAAAATGAGCTGCAGGCAGAGAACTTCCTTGTGGACATTCTTGATGAAAATACCCATTACCTGTCTTGCCTCTCTTTCGCTCACGTCCTCTTAATCTGATTAATCCAGCCGAAGCATACCGAAGCGAAGAGAACTTACAGGACATCCTAGGAATATTTTCGCAAGAAAAAGTTATCAATTGAATTTAGTCAGCCTATCAGAAAGGAACAATGGCTTTACATCTTGGCCAAAGTATCGTCATATAAAAACAATCTTATTCGTTTGCAAACAGAAAATTCGTGTCTCTTCATTCGAGAATTGTCTGGCTCAATAAGATAATGGTAAAGCTGTTCTGCGTCATCGTTGGTATGAAGGAAAGTGCGTTTCCTGTGGACATTGATACGACTGAGAGTGTGGGGAGACCTAAAAGACGCAAGCAAGGCAAAGAAGGCGAACGCCTTGAAGAACGTTGGTGCGCGTAACCTGCAGCTCTTCCTTGCGAAAGGAACAGATGGCGAGTGTATCTCGTCTGGCTTGGAAATCGTGAAGATGCTGAAGAAGGGTGAGAAAACTGCTTATAATAAGCTCTCACGGCGGAAGAAAATGAGCTGCAGGCAGAGAAATTCCTTGTGGACATTCTTGATGAAAATACCCATTACCTGTCTTGCCTCTCTTTCGCTCACGTCCTCTTAATCTGATTAATCCAGCCGAAGCATACCGAAGCGAAGAGAACTTACAGGACATCCTAGGAATATTTTCGCAAGAAAAAGTTATCAATTGAATTTAGTCAGCCTATCAGAAAGGAACAATGGCTTTACATCTTGGCCAAAGTATCGTCATATAAAAACAATCTTATTCGTTTGCAAACAGAAAATTCGTGTCTCTTCATTCGAGAATTGTCTGGCTCAATAAGATAATGGTAAAGCTGTTCTGCGTCATCGTTGGTATGAAGGAAAGTGCGTTTCCTGTGGACATTGATACGACTGAGAGTGTGGGGAGACCTAAAAGACGCAAGCAAGGCAAAGAAGGCGAACGCCTTGAAGAACGTTGGTGCGCGTAACCTGCAGCTCTTCCTTGCGAAAGGAACAGATGGCGAGTGTCTCTCGTCTGGCTTGGAAATCGTGAAGATGCTGAAGAAGGGTGAGAAAACTGCTTATATTAAGCTCTCACGGCGGAAGAAAATGAGCTGCAGGCAGAGAAATTCCTTGTGGACATTCTTAATGAAAATACCCTCCCATCGCGTGGCTACATCCACGTACTAATCAAGTTGCCTAAACCGATCGTTTATGCTGCTTCGCATGTAAGGAATGTGCAACTTTTTACAGCCATTGCGTTAAACAAGACAAAAAAGTGAGGAATGCTTTTTACTGGAAGATTGGAAAGTAAACGCTGTGCACAAGATTCCATTGATCTGAAAATTTATGAGCAGCTTGAGTGGATGCATTCAAAGGAAGAAATTCTTTTGGTGAATGGAAGATACGCTAATTGTATCGCTGCTATTGGACGGTTGGCTTCATGAGTCTTCTTGTCTGGCAGACAAGAAGAGTATCGTGGTAGGCTCGTCGGGTATTGGCAAGTCGACGCTGTTGTGCGTGATAGCTTTTCATCTCGTCTTCAAGCACAAGAAGAATGTGCTGGTATACCAAGGATTGAGCAAATATTATCAGGAGAACTGTCCCTTTTATCTGGGTTACGAAGATGGCAAAGTCGTGCAGTTTGTAGTGGACGAATGCAATGACCAGAATGCGATTAACATATATAAAGTGCTTGTCCGCAAACAGGGCAAACATAAGAGTAGCAGGCTAATATCTACACGCATCCGTTGAGTATATGAAAATAAACGAGGACGTCTAAAAGGTACTTGGTACCTCAGACCTGACACTAGGGCGTGGCACATCAATGTGACCCACCCTCGTGAATGGGATATCCATGTATGGATTCAAATCCAACAAGGATGACGCCAGTTGGGACTGGGCGTCATGGTGACGCTTCAGACAGACGTCAACAGTGAGCTTAAATATATATTAAGCTCGCACGTAGAGATAATTTTTAAATAGACGCGTATCCGATCTTTACATTTAGTAAATGAGCATTTACATTTAAATGTATAATTTTTTTTAAAAAATTCTAACATTAATTTTCTAATTACTGCTCACTGCACACGAGAAGCTTGATAAGCCTCTGCGTCTAGAAGGTGAAGCACTTGTATTTAAAGTTCGTTGCGCGGATCGCTTTTAAGCGGCCGGCAACAATCAATACAGCGCTTCATAGCGCCGACCAACACCACCACCACCGCACGCGGAGGTAAGACAGTCTAACCGCTTCCTTACGCTGATCAAAGGTGTGTGCTTGCGTAGTACTTGGCAGCTTCTTTTGAAGTACCCGTCTGCATTTTGGTAGCACTTGTAGTCTTACCACGACCCGTCTCTCTGAGCGTGCGTGCGAATACGAATGTCCCTTAGTATGAAATGGGGTACTTTCCTCACCTCCCCCAACGCCATAGAGAGTTGGCAGAGCATTTGGCGCAGGGACTTGGTAAACAAGCCCTGGTCAACCTCTTTCATTGACCTCCTGAGAAACATGTTGTACAGTTGGAACAATTTGAGGCATTTGTGCTCGGACAGCGTGGAAAGGCGTCCGAGGCATACAGCCAAGCTACGGCTGAGTCTATCAATAAGACTCAGGATGAGCTTAGGCTTGAGCAGGCACGTAATGAGGCGCTCAAAAGAACTGTTGAAACGCTTTCTGCCCGGCCTGCTCAACCGAGGCCCATTCGGATGGACCCTCCGAAGTTTGATGGGACTAGCCCTCATACGATTGTTCACTGGCTATTAGCAGTTGAGCAATGTGGAGTGGCGCAGCTCATCGAAGACGACACCAGAATGGTGTCGTATGCCATGTCCAACTTGCGTGGCAAACCGTCAGAGTGGACATACTCTTCGCTGATGGCCAATGCTGATGCGTTTACATCATGGACGATCTTTAAGGCAAAGATTCGCGCCATGTATCAGCCTCCTAACAACGAAGTGTTGCTTATGGCGCGCTTCTTTGGAGCAAGACAGGCGAAACGCTCTCTGCAAGAATTTGTGCAAGAGATGCGTTCGCTGTCTACGTCTATAAATGGGAAACCGATACCGGAACACTTAAGGTGCCTACGATCATGAATGGACTTAGGCACGGCCAATCGCGTCAGGCCCTTTTTAAGAAGGTGACAGCAACGATGGAAGAGGAAATTGACATTGCCTTAGTTGAGGAGAAATCCTACAACAGCGCCTCGGCGACAGCTTTATTATAAGCCGTCGGCCGAGAGGTCGGATGCCACTCCTATGGAGTTAGGCAATGCAGATGTTATCTGCTACAAGTGCGGCAAGCGAGGCCATATGATGGCTCGCTGCTATACCAAACTTGCTGCTGGTGATAAGGCAGCCAGAAAGAAGTCTTTAAACCCGAAGAATGGTTCGAAGAACCGTGCACGTCGCACGGGTTCAGATTCGACCCCCGATAGGTCGGGAAATGCGGGAGCACAGTAGGGGCGGGATGCCCTACTGTCGCGGACTCTGAAGCTACCCCTAAATTCAGAGTGATCGAACAAATGGTTAGCATAGTCCCTGAGGTACCAAAAGGTCGGGCCTCAACCCTTTTGGTCTACAGCGCTCGAGTACGAGGCTATGACCAAGTGATGACCCTTCTCGTGGATTCGGGTGCATCACAAAACTTTGTGAATTTCGTGACTCTGGAAAAGAGTCCGGCGAGTTATGAGTCGCTTTGCCAGGATGGAAAGCGAGAAGAGGCGATCGTTCGTTTAGCGAACCGCGCGCTTGTGAAATCGGAGGGAGTCCAAGTTGAACTCGCCTTCAGTTTCAGTGACTTCTCTTGTAAAGAGAAGTTCACAGTGCTAGGTATGGAGAGTCCGTATGACCTCATTCTAGGCATGCCTTGGATTACTAAACACCAACCATGGATCTTCTTTGAATATTATTACAAGTTGAATATAAGCCGGGCAAGTCGAATGTCTTGGCTGACGCGTTATCGCGCAGACTAGACTTCGAGGCAAGACACCAGGAAAGTGTGTCTCGTGCGAAATCACAAACTGAGTCGTCAAAATTGGTAGACATGAAGGCGTACCATGTGACGAGCTCAATGGCCTCCGATATAAAGGAGTGCTACAGTCAGAACGAACATTGTCACCTGCTGTTGGATCACTTCAGTGGGCGAAAGGTTACCCTTCCGTCGCACCTGAAAGCGAAACTAAATCGCTTTAGCTACAGTGATGGCCTGTTATGGCATCAGATGTCACCCTGTGATCCCTTGAAATCTATATCCCTCATGACACAGATTTCAAGCTGATGATACTTCACGAGTGCCATGATGCGCCATCTAGTGGGCATCTGGGCCGTGAAAAGACATTCTTACGAGTGTCAGAGGAACTTTGGCGGACCCACCTATACCGATGGGTGGCCAAATATTTTCGATCTTGAGAAGAGTGTCAGTGCATAAATCCTGCACCTTCGAACAGTGCGCCATTGAAGTCACTGCCGGCTCCAACGGTTTGTTGGAAGCCGGTCAGTTTGGACTTCATGTTTGGCTTACCGCCTGACCATAAAGGCAGGACGGGGCTCGTCGTCTTTGTAGACCGACTGAGCAAGATGGTGCATTTGGCACCATGTAGCACCAAGATCTCAGGAATAGAAGCTGCCTGGATCACGTGTATCAACTACACGGGATGCCCGAGTCCGTAGTATCGGACCGGGATCCGCGTTTTACGTCGGGTTTTTGGCGACATGTGTTCGAGCTGCTGGGTAGCAAGCTCCACATGTCAACCGCTGATCATCCCCAGACCGATGGCCAAACAGAACGGGCCAATCGAGTCGTGGCGGATGTGTTGCGTACAATAGCGACTCCCAAAGAATGGAGCAAGCAATTCGCATTCGTGGAGTTCGCTATTAATAACAGTGTTCACGCCAGTACGGGTAAAACACCGTTTTATATTAACGGACTGCGTCATCCTCTAACGCCAGTCTCGTTTGTGCGCAGCCCGAGTCTTAGTGAGGGAGGACCCCTTACTTTCACTCGTTGCGAATGTTAAAGAGGGTCAAATTTGCCCTAGTGATACTGCTAATGTAACAGTGGTCACGACACCTATAGGTGTCAATGAGGAGGCACGGCAAGAAATGCATGTGCTCCCTGACGATGACACTATAGTGTTATTAACAGCGTCGACCCATGACCGACCACTTGGAGGCGTCATAGGCGAGCTGTAGCGGAGCTACACAGCTCTTTAGCCAGAGGAAGACTTTCGGCTGGAAGCCTCTTAGTTCTAGAGATATAAATAGAGTGAAGGCTAAAAGCCACTTAGTTCTGAGGAACTAATTAAACGACTTAAAGTCACCCTGTTCTAAGGAACTAGGAAAGAGACTTTTAATCAATCAAGCAATATGCTTAAGGTTCAGAGAACCAACGCACAGAGTGCAAGAACAAGCTAGAAGCTTAGGGGTTCAAAGAACCAACGCACGAAGTGCACAAGAGAACAAGTCAGAACGACTTGCGATCTTAAACTCAAAAGGAGAACTGATTTTATTTATGCTTTAAGATATTATGAATAGTCCTACTTTAAGTACACTACACTAGATTAATTACTATTATAGTAATTATTATATGCAGACTTTGCTATTGGACGACGTATCGTCTAAACATCTGTGTATGATGTACTTAATACAGCGTTAGTGATTTATCGAATCCCAATCGATAAGATACGGTATTACCGAATACCGTATTATAACGCTCATACTTAATACCTCTCTAACGAGAAGTATAATAATGCATTATATGCAATACAAAGGAGAGTTTAAGCGTAAACTCTCGGAAAGACGTGTAACCCCGTTACACCCTCCCCCAGACTGACTGACGTTCCCATAGAATGTCACTCGACATCTTTCCTCATAGAGGTAGTGCTGGAGCCCCATATCACTACTCAAAGCCAATACTTGGCACGCCTTAATAGGCAAGTGCGCGGTGCGCCAGTTCCTCCGATGAAGGGTGTTCCCATCCTTCTGTTCGCGGGGGAAACCGAGGAAGAAGAAGACACGGCTTTCAGCCGCTGGGCGCATTATGCGCGACGTTTAAGCAGCATGTGGGCCCTACGGGCAAGTGCCGATGTGGCAGATGTTCGACTTTAGCGGAAGATGCGTTATGATTACGCTAAATTGAAGGCCCGGGGGAAATTGAAATCCCAACGAACGCATTATGCGCCTACTGCCCAGCAGCCCAATGTTTCGGCTACCCCTGCAGCCGCGAGTTCACGACAGCCCGAGGCCGCTAACCCGCCTACCCTCACCCTTACTGGTGAGAAGCGTCAGCGCCAACAGACAGACCCTGCGCACGACGCTCAAAAACGTCCACGGCGTACGGGCAATCCTGCCGAAGGGGAGTCTCAAATTCCCATGAATTCCATGATTCGGGATAACCCCGCCATTTCACCAGATACTGGTTTTGACCATGGCGGCGACGCTTCTGCAGTAGACGCTCCACATGGAACTGCAGGTTCCCCTGCGCATCGAGCAAAGGAGGAGGAGGTCGGTGTATCGGAACAAGCTCATGCCGAGCTTGTTCAGGAGGTGCGGACCCTTCGTGAGGAGAGGCAGACGATGAACTCCCGGCTTGAGTCCCTGGAAGAGAGTCGGACCCGAATGCAGGGTCAACTTGACTTGTTGGTGCAGATGCTCCGTCCCGCGACAATGCCAATGGGCCCGGCGCGAGCGCCTTAGCGTCTATTTGGGACGGATCCCGATAAGATTTCAACATGGCGACATAGAACACAGGATGTGTA